AAATCTTTTTTGTTTTGATGGAAGTTAAATGGTATGTTGTTGAGTTTTTGAAAGACAGAATAATATCAGTGAGTTTCTTGCTTGCAGCCTTGAACCAGAGAAGTAACAACATATCATATAACAAATGATATGAGAGGACTGCTTTAGTGGCTTGTACTTTGTGTATTAAGAGTTGTATATCCATTTGGAGTTTGTGTTTTTTTGCTTTGCAGAAGGGTCGTGTGTCTGAATATGTAGATCAATTTTTTGTTAGTTTTCGTTAGACAAGAGATTGATTTGAATTTAAGTTTTGAAGATTTGAAGGGGAATTTGGCATAAAACTCTTTTAAGTTTTCTCGAGTGATCAAACTTTAATTAGTTTGCCTTTCAATTTAATTGGTTTGCTTTTCAATTTAAAATCAAAATAGCCTTCAAAAAATATTTAGAAAATCAAAGATATCCCTTGTATTAAATTTTAAATATCCATGTGGGCCATAGAATTTGCCTTTGCAAGCCTTGCAGACTATGAAAATCCTATGTGGCATTCAATTTGATTTTGAAAAAGGTTTGCAAGACCCGATGTAGACGCTCTTATAATTAAGCATCTATGGGATTCATACACTTTATTTTAGTACTCCATAGTCTAATGATTCCTATAATCCCAAAGACATCTTTTCAGGAATTAGCAATTGAATCACAATAGGTTTGATAGTAACAAAGTACTAGTGCGGAACTATTTTGATATAGGGTACAAACATTGTAAATATATTATATGTAGTTATCTAATATCGAACATTAAAAACATGTTATAATTTCTTTAGTTGGAGCTACAATAACATAAAATATGTTTACAAATAATATATATATATATATATATATATATATATATATATATATATATATATATATATATATATATATATATATATATATATATATATATATAACAATTTTTTGGGGTACTGCAGTACTTCAACGTTCCATCTAGCTCCGTCACTGCATAATACTTAAGCAAACAAGTCCAATCAACACAAAACATTTAATCAGCATGAACCCGAAAAAAAAAAAAAAAGAGTAAAATCAATATGTTGCATAAAAATTATCGGATAAAATTGAAAAAAAAAATAATAATAATACCTAGGGTAAAATTGTAAAATTCTTACAAACTTAAGGTTTTTCCTACAAATTTCACTTTAAGGAAACCTGAAAACCAATGAAAAAATGGTAAAACTAGAAAGTTTAATGAAAATTATCCATGTAAAAGCAAAAAAGAAGATAAAACCAATAAAAATTATGTAAGTTTTTATGCCATTTCCCCTATTTTAAGGGAGATGGTTTTGACTTTTTGGCTACGATCAAGTACTATCGTTTGATGTCATCAGGGCAAATGTTTTGATTCTATCAAATCATTAAAAAAAGTTTATTTAATTTTCTTGAACTATAAATAAGTATCAATTGAAACTGGCCAATATGCGGTTGGATAAAGATAACAACACGATTATCATGCAACTTAATTTAAGTTGATAATAATTAAAAATTTAGTTAAAGTTTGAAGAGTTGATTGTCAATTACACTTTTTTTTTTTGAATTAATTGATTAAGTTTTAAAGTATTTATAGTTACAAAGTTTTACTTTTTAGCATAAATTAGGATGCTTTTGGTTGTGAAAAACTGTTTTCATTTTCTATGAAAATATTTTCAGAAAATAGGGTTGAGTTTTTATTTTCAATTTTCAATGAAAACGCATTTGGTTGGAACGGGTAGAGTTTTCATTTTCCATCCTAGAAATTTGGAAAACTATAAAAATCACTTTTCTAATTTACATACAATTTGGAAAACTGGAAATTTTCATTTTCTTAGAAAACTTTGGAAAACTGAACGAATCAAACGCGTTTTCAAAATTTCTGTACTTGGAAAATTTTCCTAAAAAACTGGAAAATTTTCCACAACCAAACGTAACCTTACATTTTTTATCCTTGAGTATAACTAATTTTGGTTTCAAAAAATTCTTTTACAGATTCTGTCCATATTTGAAGATTCACGTAAAAAAATGAAATATAATCAATGTAATCTGAAACAGGGATTAAAAACATTACAAGAACCTTAAATAAGAACCAAAATTACAAAAGAAAACATTTTGGGACCAAAACTGAAAATGTAATTTACTCTTAGTTTTTATGAATTGCCCTCGAAACAAATACTTAAAGTGACTAAATATTAAAAGAGAAGATGCACACTTGATGTCAAAGGAACAACTTTCATTATTATTATTATTATTTTGTAAATATCAAAGACAAGATACAAGGTTAGAAGTAGATTGTCATAATTAGGTGGAATTAGAACTTAATGACTTGCTTAGGTTGGCTTCCGAGCTTCCCAAGTGCCTTGTCTAATGCTGCGTGAAACTCATTGAAGGGAGCAAGCTCCATACTGCCAAAAAAAAAAAAAAAAAAATTAAGTCCCAACTTTTGACACATTCACACTCATTTATTTATTTTCCTTAATTGGAATAAATTAAGGACTTACTCGTATTTCAATTTTCCCTCACGAATCAATCCCAAAAGGTAATCTATCATTTCTCTGCACTCTTCTTTCCTATCTGAGCTAATCCATTTTTGCAACCAGAATCCTTTCAACGAAAGCTCCTGCATGCAGGTGTATATACGAATTCAAATTATCATCATAATTCATAAACACTCATTTTCATGATTATTGGGTTATAATATTAATAGGTTGTGTTTTTATGACATTTGCAATATGAATGAATGATAAAATTGATTGCTTACTTTAAATATGAAGGATGAAGTTGATACAGTTACAGGCTTCTTAGCCATTCCGCCATATGTCACCATTGTTCCACCCTGCCTGAAACCATTATTCATATTTTATTCCAAAAGAAACCTTAAAATTATATGAAATAAAAAAAAAAAAAAAAAAAAAAAAAAAAAAAAGGACTAATCTTACCTTAAGAATTTAAGAACCAAAGAAGCAGCATTACCACCAACACAATTAAATCCCAGTGCAGGTTCAGGTAAATTATCCTACAAATTGAATAAGTGAAAAAAAGAAAGAGTTTAAATCATATCATACCTTGACAGATGAAGCAATGAAAAAATAACAACACAGTTTGTGGGTTTTTCATATGAAAATTACCAAAAAGCCCTTGACATTTTTCACATCAAGCTGGCTCTCGGTAAACACGACATCAGCACCAAGTTTCTTGAGTTTCTCTTTCGCATCATCTGACCCTGGCCTACATGTGAATAAAATCCACCAATCAAACAAAATTACAAATAATCAAGCACTGAAGTATACAAAACGGGCAAAATGGGAAATTGTTTGCTGACCTGTCCCTTATAATATTAATGGTATGGATGCCACGAAGTTTAGCAAGCTGAATCACACACTGTCCAACCATGCTGGTTGCTCCATTTTGCACAATTGCATCCCCTACTTATGTATAGACATAAAATCATTACATAAAAGTACACTGGAAAATAATGATAAAAACAGACATTTTAGCACCTGATTTGAGATCCACATAGTCTTCTATCATCCTTAGTGCAGTCAAAGGATTTATTGTAACTGTTGCAGCATATTCAACTGGTGTACCTCTATCGATTTTGTGCCAGAAATCTTTATCTTTAACAACATGTGTCTGCCATGTCCCTAACAAGAAAACCTTTATTGATTCAAACACATGATTCGTATGTGCATGGGTTTGTAATTTGTACTACAAAGCTATCATCATTGATTGAAATCAAGAGTCTACCAGGTGAAGGTGGAGATGCCATAACCAAATCACCAGGAGAAAGACCTTGTACTGCTGAGCCTACTGAGTGTACTTCTCCAACACCTTCATATCCTGCAACAGTTGGGAGTGGTGGCCTCACAGGGTAGACACCTACATGAGCATGTAAAACCCCAATGCTCAACATTATGTGTATATGTAACATTATGAAAAGTTACAGTGATTTCATATTGTTGGATTGCTGATTTCATTGATACTAGATGCCAAAAACACTTTGGTAGTTTTAAACTAAAGATATTACTAGAGATTGGATGAATTTCATCAGGTAATGCATTGATTATTTGAATAAATGTAAGAGGGAGTTTCTAGTATTTGGTTGACTTTTTGGTATTTCGATTCAAAAGATAAGAATTAGGTTAAGCAACTAGCATCCTCGATCCGTGATTCATGGAGATTTGAGACATATGTGCCAATCACATCATCCTCTATCCAGTTTTAACAATCAATCAAAGAAAATTTAGGATTGATAAAGGAAAATTTACGCATACCGGTAATTACGAGTCATCGTCTAGTGAGAAACTTCATAAAACGGGAACCAATAGCAACAACAAATGAATAGGATTAATAAGTGTCATTTCAAACCTTCGATTCTATTAATGTCAGATGGATTGATGGGGGCAGCAAGCATTTTAACACACACGTCGTTTGCTCCAACTGGAACTGGTGGAAGTTCGATTACTCTGCACACAAGTTTTTTTTTAATGAGTTCATCATTTGGTAATTAAAACTGTAACAGAGGCCGAATTATTAAGAGAGAATATAACTTGGTGACAGTATCCGGAGGACCGTGTTTCTCGTAGAACACTGCTGTAGACGGCGGCGACTTGAGGGAGGAGAAAGCCCTAACGATGCCGGAAGTATGAATACGAGGGCGGAGGAGTTGCGAGTGCGTCCACGTTCCATGGATAGCTTTTAGAGTGACAAACCTCGCACATGCCATTTCTATGGAGCTTAATCTCTGTTCCTACTTCCTGCAACTCTCCAAATTTATCATCAACACTTTGTTTGTAATTAAATGAATAATAAAACATTAAAACGATTATCGTGAATAATTATTGTGATATTAATTAAAATAACCATAAACTGAAATATATTTAATAAAAACTAGATAGGACCCCCCCCCCCCCCCTTAATATCAAATAAAACCAACTAAACATATTATGGGTGTCATAGTTGGTTGATTATGAATGATGCTTAAAAATAAAATAAAGTAAAAGTAAACTGAGATCTATTGTTTTTTTTTAAAACACATATATTGGATTCTTAAAGCTACACACACAAACAAAAAAACATATTCAGAATTCAAGTATAATGATTAAATAAGGAATCATTTGAAAACATAGATAAAAATTAGAGCATAACACGAAAACGACATCGAAAATTAGCCTCATTTACACATCGTAGGTATGTTGACTTTTCATCTGCTTTTATTTATAAATTTCTTTTTCCGACTAATTTTTGTGTACCATTATTCATGTTATCCTCTTGTTCTTCTGTCCTTATTGAGTCTTCTTAAAAAAAATAGAAATAAACAAATATGTGCCCAAATTGAATTTATGTTGTGTTTTAATATTCGATGTTTATGATTGATCTGTGATAGTTTAAATTCAAATCAAGCCCTATCATAGTCTTGAGTTCATGTGCTTTAGGACCAAACCATTCACCAACAATTTCTGCGATCTTTTTTGGTGACGTTGAAAATTTCTCATATCCATTTTCCACTACATAGGATACATTTCCAACTTCCTGCATAATATCAGATTTCTGAGGTGTTAGAGAAAAATGACATTTTTATCCTTGCATTCTAAAATCAACTTTAATAAGAAAATTACCTGGTCAGCAATGTAATCGTTTAGAATGATAGGGAGATCTCGGATCCTGGCGTCTGCAATTGTGGTTGCACCAGCCTATGAGACATGTAAAATTAACCAATAAACAAAATTAGAAGTTTAACATTAGTGTGAGCGACAAAGAGTAAAAAAAAGTTGAATATCTGAAATAATAAAAAAAAAAGTAAAAAAAAAAATTGAGTATTGAATACAGAGTGGTAACCTCACTTTCCACAATTGTTTTACTTATTAATCTTCCCCTGCTAAAATTGAATATCTGAAACAGTAAAAAAGTAAATAATAATAATAATAATAATAATAATAATAATAATAATAATAAATTAATTTAAAGAAATAAAGAAGCAGTGAAGGATATGAATTAATTGCTGAGACTTATTTTTGTGCATTGCCAACTAAAACCAAGTTAGTATTCACCTGCATTTATTAGGGAAAAAATAATTACTGATTTTCATTCATAGATGGATATTTGGCCTTTTTTTTTTTTTTTCCGAACTCCTCTGTCATGAATACTGTGAAATTTGTTTTTTTGTTTTTTTTTTTTTTTTTTTTTAAATATAAGAGTAAAATGGTCATTTAGTCTCGTTCAGAGACAATCTACCGTATGCATGCATCCGAGGTCCCTAATCTATAAGTTGAAATATATTAATCGTATAGTAAAATATCCAAATTGCCCTTAGTGGAGAAAGAAAATCAGGTAACAACTTACAACTTTGTGAGAGTAGTGATATTGCATAGTTCATATTTCACATGCCTTGTAGTTGTGTTGAACCCTATTTAGGTGGTATTGTGCCTTGTAAGTGACTCAAAATGTTGTAAAGAATAAAACATTTGCATTTGCAGTAACCGAATCACCTGGAATGCAATTCTCCCACCATTAAAGTAAGCAATATTTGCAAATTCACAATCCAATCCATTATTAGCAAAAAGGGAAGTAATTGTTTTGGAACCGCATTATCTGCAAACTTATACTATTATAATTTTGTTTTAAAATATTTTGCAAAAATATGATGCAATTTTGAAAAAATATAGTCTGTAAAAAGTAATTTTGCAACTGACCTGTTGCAAAATAGGTGGTTATTTTGTGCTATTTGTACAAAAAAAATGGTTGATTTATTAAATGTAGATCATATAGTGTTTTTTTATTGTGTGATTATCGCTATATCTAATTATGTGCATATTGCATACCATTCCAAAAAAGGTTGTAATAAGAAAACTTTTCCTCCATTGTTCATCCATCAAAGAAGACGCTATCATCGTGCCCATTTTCATGTTCTATAATCTGCATTGCATATAAAATGATACAAACCTTTGAGAGCTTTTTGTAACTTTCACATGTGCTAGTCAGCACCTAGATGTGCATTTTGCAGATTCATGAGCAAAATCTGCAACAAAAAAAAAAAAAAAAAAAAAAAGGACATAAGGGTTTGTAAGGGTGCAATGATCATTTTAACAAACACATTAAAAAGTAGGCATTTTGACAAACACCTTAAAGGCAATACACAAAACAACTGATAACCCTTGTCGTTTGTGGATTGTTTTTGAACATCTTTCTCTTAAATTTGTATATCTAATATAAAGGCCCATGATATATCAAAATCAAACACTCTGAAACTCAACAATTTCAGTTTTCATCCAAATAAGCAGTCCAATCTAGCTTTTACAAATATTGTTACGTTTTTCCTTAAAGTAAACCAACAACAATAAATAGAAGTAAACTCAACAATTTCAGTTTTCATCCAAATAAGCAATCCAATCTAGCTTTTACAAATATTGTTACGTTTTTCCTTAAAGTAAACCAACAACAATAAATAGAAGTGAAATCTATCTAGCGTACCTTTTAGGTTGAAATTTAGATTCGTTTTGGGATGTTGCCAATTCTATTTACGACCTTATTTCAAACATCACAACAAACAATCAGGAATTAGAAATTTGTGAAAAAAGAAAGGAAAACGCGAATTCAACACAACCCAGGGAACATAAATGTAACAGCTCGAATCCCCAGGTATCTTTACTTTCACATTTTTGATTTTCTGTGAGGGGACTCGGCGAGTTAGAGGTCGAACTCGCCGATTCGGGTCGTGGTTTTGGGCAGAGGTTCGCGTCCGGACTCGGCGAGTCCAAGGGATGGACTCGGCGAGTTCGCGCTGTTTAATGAAACCCTAATTTCCCGGTCCTAAGCCCTATTTAAAGGACCTTATGGCCTTCATTTGCGGCCACCTTGAACCCTAAGTGCACCCATACGACTGTGAGCCCTTGTGAGTGTGATAAGAGGCCATTTGTTCATCATTTTGTGTATTATTGCAAGAAAGGAGGGAGAAGGTCAAGCTTGAAGAGTTGGGGAGCTTGGATCTGCTTCTATTTCATCAAGGGAACCTTCTTGAGGTAACTTTCAGAGCTAACTTCGTATTTTGGCTTGATGTGTCAAATCTAGGGTTTCTTCTTACCTTATTTGGCTTAAATTGGAAGTATGAAAGGTCCCATGGAGATATGGAACCTAGATCTGGACCTTAGCAGGTCCAGGAGGCCCCATATGACAAGCTTTATGTCCACTCTTTTGAGTTAGAAGCTAGGGTTGCCATATTAGAGGATATTTCTCCAAAATGAGCCTTGTATGCATTGCATGGCGACCAAGACTGAGACTTTACGTGATAAATAAGCTTGGGAAGGCCAGATCTATGTGTGTATGGAACAGATCTGACCGCAAAAGCCAGTTTTAGCTGATGCATGGCATGGACTCGCCGATTCTGAAGAACAGACTCGACGAGTCGCTTGAAGATTGTCCTTGAGACCACCCAGTGTGTAATCCTGCCGAGTTGTGGGTGACTCAGTGAGTCGCAGAGAGTTAGAAAGGTTTTGACAGGTGCACCGAGTCAAGTTGGGACTTGCCGAGTTGTCCTTGCGACTCGACGAGTTGAGTCGCGGTGGCCCCGTGATTCAGGCCCAGGTGGAACTCGTCGAGTCGGGGGAGTACTCGACGAGTCAAAGGGAAAATCCTTGCGAGTTGGTTAAAATGCGTAGACTCGCCGAGTCACTATAGTGCACTCGCCAAGTCCGGTCCAATTGACCAAAGACTGTTGACCACATCAACCTGTGTTGACTTGATATGGATGGTCAACCTTAGTGGTACAAGTAATAATTATAGATTCATAATATCATATGAGGATTACAGCTCGAGGGTTCGAGCACGAGTGATTCCAGGGTTCATGATTAGCAAGGTATACGAGGTGAGTCTTCTCACTATACTGTACCCGGAAGGGTTTGACTGTGTGACCGGAAGGTCGATTATGATATGATATATATGTCTATGTGTGGTAAGTTATTCGTTATATGTGCCATGTATGATATGCTTGATTTGGGCCGGAAGGCAACATGTAATGGGCCGGAAAGCGTGGTCATATGGACCGTAAGGTTGACGTGGGTAGGACCGTGAGGTTTACACAGTCGGGACGGAAGTCCCCTGAGACACATGGACCGGAAGGTCAAGGCCTGGAAAGGCGTACGTGCGTAGGTTGTATTTTGGGGAACTCACTAAGCATTTATGCTTACAGTGGTTGTGTTATGTGTTTCAGGTACAAGCGAGGACCGTGGGAAGGCGCCGGCGTGATCGTACACACACTCGGGGAAACCATTTTGTGATCTTTCGTTATGTAATTGGTTGTGAATAAATTGTTACATTGGAACCTAAACTTATTACTCAATGTTTTGATGATTGTAAAAAAAAAAAAAAAAAAAAAAAATTGGTTTCGGAATTTATGACGTTACAAGTTGGTATCAGAGCCTTGGTTTGAGGGATTCGGGTACACCTTCGGGCGTAACTGAACTCAAACCGGGGATTTGAGAAAATTTTAATTAATAAATCAAAAAAAATTTTGATAAGTGATTTTGAGACAACCAAAGAAGAAAGAGTGTGTACGATCAGCCAGCGCCCGAACGGTAAAATCCCCAAAATACTCTTACAATATGTGTTACGAGATATGATATGATATGATACGCATGCTAGTAGACTAGGTATACATATTAGGACTAGAGTGGCCTGATTTTGTGATGCCTTAGTCTAGGGAAACCTGCTTCTATGAGGTGCTTGAGAGCGAGTGGGTAACGAGTGTATGATAAGAATAGAGTACTCAGGATTCGGGGTTCGGGGAGGAGGACTTGGGGTGAATACCGACGCGGTGTAATTGGTAGTATTGGGCCCGTACTACCAAGGACACCGGGTCAGTGGGCAGCCCAAGTAAGAATCCCTGGGTAACGGAGACTGAGTAGGACTGCGTTATCGAGTGCGATTATGCCCGATAGAGTCTCTGATATTTTTATGTTGTATTTCAAAGACATCATGGTTGGACCACGACACAGACCTGGTACGAGTGGTGTGACTGACGAGGAGCTTCGTCAGATGATTCATGAGGAGGTAGTTGCAGCGATCCGGGCCGAGATTCCGGAGATGTTTGGGTCTATTAAGACCACGCTGATGGAGACATTTGATGAGCGGTACGGTGCGTTGACTGAGGCTGCCGCCGCTGCAGCTACTGCAGCTGTGGCCGCTACCAGACCACAGGGGGGTGACTCGTTGCTGTTCCGGGAGTTCAGCAACACGAAGCCACCAGAGTTTGACGGGACGCAGGATCCGATTGCTGCGATGAGATGGATTGCTGATATCGAGGGATGCTTCTATACTTGTTCATGTCCGGAGCATCTGAGGGTACGGTTCGCCTTGAACTAGCTCCGCCTGGGAGCAAAGGATTGGTGGAAGTTCGTGACGGCGAACTTCACTCTGGCAGAGGTCTCAGTTGTGACTTGGGAGAGGTTTACTGATATGTTCAGAGACGAGTATGTTCCCCCGGTGGAGAGGGAACGGTTGGTTCAGGAGTTCTTGACCCTCAAGCAGGGTAATGATTCTGTTACGGTGATCACGCGGAAGTTTCATGAGAGGGCGATGCTCTGCCCCGAACAGGTGTCCACGGAGCAGGCTCGGATGAGTCGGTATTTGGGAGTGCTGGGGTGGGATATCCGGGAGTTCGTATCGAACTCGTCATATCAGACTTTTACTGAGCTTCAGGCGAATGCCAGGAAGCATGAGATCGAGTCTGAGACCCAGGCCAGGGAGGAGGCCGAGTCTCAACGGGTGGATCGGTGGCCGGCTCAGTCTCAGCCGGCAGCCAAGCGGATCAAGTCCGCCGATTCGAGATCCGGAGGTCAGAAGAGCCGCACTTGCGGAAAGTGCGGCAAGGGTCACGAAGGGGCATGTCGATCGGGTGCTTGCTACAAGTGTGGCAAGGAGGGGTACATTGCTAGAGATTGCCCCAAGGGATTCATGGTTTGCTTTCATTGCAACCAGACTGGCCATAGGAAGGCCGAGTGCCCCCAGCTTCGCCAGGGATCTACGCCTGCTGCCAGGGTTCCCGAGGTTCGGCCAGTGAAGGCCGAGGCTCCGAAGGCTCGTGGGAGAGCTTTCCAGTTGACTGCGGAGGAGGTCCGCACGGCGCCTGATGTCGTGGCCGGTATGTATTCTTTCATGTATTTTTCATTTATACTGAGATATTGTGCTCATATTATTATATGCGTAGGTACTTTCCTTGTGAATCATGTGCCTGCTTTGGTATTGTTCGACTCGGGTGCGATTCGGTCTTTTGTTTCGTTGGCTTTTAGCCAGCACATCGGTATCGATCGGGAGGTGATGAGCCGACCCGTGCGAGTTGCTATAGCAAATGAGAAAGCGATATACACCACTGAGGTGATTCGAGGATGCGTGCTCGAGATTTTTGGGGTCGAGTTTCCTATAGACTTGGTCCCTATAGCTATGGGGGATGTCTGCGTTATCATGGGCATGGACTGGTTGAGTAAGTTTGGAGCAGTCATTGACTACGAGAGACAGCTGGTGATGATTCGAGACCCTAGTGGGGGAGTGCTCACGGTTTATGGCGAGGGGACCCGGTGTGGGTCAGCGTTTTGTTCGGCTGCCAGGGCAAGGCAGAGTTTGCAGCAGGGCTGTGATGGATTCATAGCCTATGTGATGGATACTCGTGTGATCGCGGAGAGGCCCAATTCGATTGATGACGTCCCGGTTGTATGCGAGTTTTCGGATGTGTTCCCCGAAGAGTTACCGGGTGTGCCTCCGGAGAGGCAAGTGGAGTTTCGTATCGATTTGGTTCCAGGAGCGGCGCCCATCGCCAAGGCGCCTTATCGTCTCGCTCCGCCGGAAATGCAGGAATTATCCTCGCAGCTTCAGGAGTTGTTGGGAAAGGGATTCATTCGACCGAGTAGCT